CGATCGTTTAATATCATAATAACTAAACGACAACCGTTGGATTGGGTAGTTTGTAATTATTTTGGTTTTGTGTTTATCTGTATCTAATAAGCTTTTTTTTTTTTACTTTAAATTTTATATTTATTTAATTATTATAATTTAAAGTATATAATAAATCATTATTTTTTTAAATAATTATCGTTCATGCCCGGAATGCTTGCTTCGTTTTCCTCCCCAACGACACAATCCACCCCCTTCGAAGTCCAGCATCCTCGCTGGCACTCATTTCCCACTCCTTTTCTTTTCCAATCGAGGTAGGACCCTCTCCCCCCAATTCAATTCCTTCGTAGCCCAGTGTACTCGTTGACACATCACCTTGTGTCCACTCCCTTCGAGGCTCCAACCTCCTCGTTGGCACATTACTCAAGTGTCTGGCACTGATACCATTGTTATTTGTAATAGTCCAAGCCCACCACAGTCCAAACTCATAGTACCCCCCCTCCCTCAATCCACCTCCTTCGGAGTCTAGTGTCCTCGCTGGCATACCGCCTTGTGTCCACTCCCTTTGAAGTTCAACCTCCTCACTGGCACATTGTCCGGTGTCTGGCTCTGATACCATTTGTTATCTGTAACAGTCTAAACCCACCACAGTCCAAGCCCTCAATGATTTTTAAAACGAGAGGTTTTCACGCCCTCCCCAATCCACCTCTTTCAGAGCCCAGTGTCCTTGCACACTGGCACACTGCCTCGTGTCCACTCCCTTTGGGACTCAACCTCCTCGGTGGCATATCGCCTCACGCCCTTTTACTCCTCAATCCACCTCCTTCGGAGCCTAGTGTCTTCGTTGGCACCCCACCTCATGTCCACTCCCGCTGGGATTAAACCTCCTCTGGCATATTGCCCTCTAGCTCTGATACCATTTGCTTATCTGTAAGCGTCCAAGCCCACCAGTCTACACACACCACTAGCATGCAAATCTAAACACAAAAATGCAAAAAAAAATAAAACAAAAAAAAAAAATCAAAATTTGTTTTCAATTTTAGAATATTATTTTCATAGCATGCAAATCTAAACACAAAAATAAAAAAATAAAAAACAAAAAAAAGACAAAAAAAAAAATTCAAAATTTGTATTTTTCATTTTTAGAATATTATTTTCAAAGTTTTAAATTTCAATATTCGTCATTATCATTATGGCAATAGTCAAGGTTCAAACTTAAACAGTGAACCATAAAATAAATTTAAGCCATAAAAAAAACATATTTATTAAATAAAAAATTAAAATTCACAATTTATTAAATATTTTTGAAATTACATATCAAATACGACAACGTTAAGAATGTGACGTCTAATTTAAGGTAATTTTTTCTAAAATGATCTTAAAAAATAACTATAAAGTTAATACATGTTTAGATTATTTAAAGCCAATTCACTAAATAAAGTAATATATTAATTATTTTAAATTGAAAATAGAAGGCTGGTAAATACTCAAACAATAACAAAAATTTAATACACACTTCTATTTTGGGAAAATGGTTGATTTTTAGAATGTAAAATTAATGGGTTTTTTTTTAATTAAAAACATAAATTGAATTTATTACTAAATTGGCGAATTTCTTAAATTTATTAATTTCTACGAACAAAAAATTGCATAAAATATTAAAATTAAGCCTGAGAAGATAAATTGCGTTACGACAAGTCGAATCATTTCGAATCAAAACGACGCATCGGTCCGAGCAAGCCTCCCTCCGCCTCGGAAAAATTAGGTCATTTCAAAGTGGCCAAGTATAAACAAACGCCGGCCAACTGACGGAGCATGGCATCGGTGGTCAAAACGTCTGAAGCAAGCTGCACGATGCGGCCTTCTGCAAGCGTATCGTCGCAGGTAACGTAGAAAGTGAGGGCGGCGGAGAGCTTAGTTTTGAGGCTATGATTGTCTTTGGTCTTCAAATGATTGAGGCTTTCCTTCAGTCCACGAATGGCGTCGTTGAAGTTCGTTTTGCACACGTCTAGAGGCTCCATTTTGCCAAGCTTCGCGGCCTCTTCTCTGGCGCGCTCTGTTTCCACGATCAAGTGTTCTATGGCTGCCTTTAAGGCGGCTTCCGGCTCGGTGGCGCCTTTCACGGCGGTTTGGCAGAGCTGCACGTGATCGGCTTTGTCGCACGGGCCGCCTCCCTTAGCTTGGCCGCCGAAGACGGCGACGAGAAAGATCATTGAGAAAGAAACCGAGTGCATTTTCGCCATTTTTTTTTTTTTTTTTTTTTTATGGTTCTTTTCAGATTTTCTTTTAATTTGTAACTTTAAATTACATTTTGATGCAATAAATAGTCTAAAGCTTAGATATTCTATGGATAAGTGTTCTTTTTCCTATGTAATTTTAAATATTTTTATGTATTTAAGTGTGTCATTGTCACCTTGGAGAGTGCTTTGCATGTTTCTTTTGAGATAAGCCCTTGCCTTTGCGGGGGGACTGCAAATCATACTAAGCTGTTGTCACATTAGAGCTAGACCTTGCCTTTGCCTAATTCCAATTCTTTGAAGGATGCTTTTGTTCCTAATATCTAACTGTAATATGTTGTTCTTGTTTCGGGAAGGCTCAGACTGAGACTCTTTTACAAGCATTTTTTTACATAACTAGTTAGTGACCTCACTACCTATTAAGACAAGATCTCTCCTGTTGAATTTTCCCTTTAATCTTCATGGTCCTTGACTCCTTGGTGAACCAAGACCCCCCAGTGAATGAATGGAAGTTTTATGGTGTCTTGACTCGTGCGATCGATCCATTTTTTTGCCATCTTTCTTTCACTGATTGATAATTGGTATTATAAATTTTCCGGCAGGTTACTCCAACGGCCCATTTTCAAAATGATCTAGGCTTGGATAGCTTGGATACTGTGGAGGTTGTGATGGCTCTTGAAGAAGAGTTCCGGTTTGAAATTCCCGACAACGAAGCAGACAAAATCAATGCTATCAACCTTGCAGTTGATTTTATTGCCTCTCACCCTCAAGCAAAATAGACGAAAGCCATAGATGCTTTCACTCAGGTTCCTCCTATTTCGATGATAAAATTAGATACTGTTAGATGTCTCTTATTTGTCGCTCTGTATTTTGTTGGTGGTTTTCCAATTGTTATCCCAATTCTTATTAAAAGAGAATGATACCTGGTTGAGCCAGCTTCAAGCTGCATGAGTTGAGGCAGACTGTTATTNATTTTTTTTTTTTTTTTTTTTAACGAAAATTGACTTTCCGTCTCACGATTTTAAAATGAGTTTGTTAGGGAGACGTTTCACCCTCCTTAGGTCCAGCATCCTCGCTAACATGTCACTCAAATCTACCGCTAGTAAATATTATCTGTTTTTGCTCGTTATGTATCACTCGGTATCTAGCTTCAATATCATTTATAAAAGCCCAGACTTATCATCGCTAGTAAATGTTATTTACTTTGGTCCATTACATATAACCGTCAACCTCATCATTTTAAAATGCATTCTTTGAACACACCCTTGTAAGAAATATTTCATTTTCCTTTCCAACTAACGTGGAATCTCACAGATATATTATGTCTTAATTAGTTAAGCTATATTTCGCTACTATCTTTGTCTATCAATCTCGTGAGAGTTTTTCTTTCGATTTTTAGTTGTCTATGAACATGACTTGTTGCAAGAACCGAACGGAGTATAATAAAATATTTTTAAAGTGATATTAAAATTTTGTAAATGGGTTTTAGATTGTAGCAAATTTGTATTGGTTTCTTCCCTTTTGTTCTTCCCCAAGTAGAAGTTACTAGAACATCTGGTTTAGATTGAAGACAACAGAGCACTAACAAGAGTGCGTGTAAAGAGCAATATTAGTGGGAGGCCAACGTTTAAGAAGGAAAGTGTTAAGCTGCTGAAGGAGCCAGAAAGCCTGTAAAATTTGATATTCATTAGAGGGTGAAAAAGAAAGCTAGGCTGCACGTGCAGTTGATTCCTGGCTAGCCTTCCTCCACTATCAACGCCATTAAACTCTCTTTTAGCCCTTTTCTTCTCCACCGACCCTAAGCCTACCGAACCTACCAAGTCTACCACTAACAGATATCGTTTCTTTCTTCAATCGATGTGAGATCTTATAATTCACCCTCCTTCAGGGCTCAACATCCTCGTTGGCACACAACCCGATGTTTGAATCTGATACCATTTGTAATGGTCTAAGCCTACCGTTGGCTGATATTGCCATCTTTTGAGCTTTCTCTTTCGAACTTTTTCTCAAGGTTTTTAAAATGCATATGATAAAGAGAGGTTTTCACACCCTTATAAACAATGTTTAGTTCTCCTCTTCAACCAATGTGAAATCTAACAATCCACTCCCATTCAGGGCCTATTGTCCTCGCTGGCACTCGTTCTCTTTTCCAATCGAAGTAGGATTCCCTAATCCACCCCCTTCGAGGCTCAACGTCCTTGCTAGTGCACTACCTCGTATCCACCCCCTTTGTGGCTCAGCCTCTTCGCTGGCACACAACCCAGTGTCGAACTCTAATACCATTTGTAACAGCCCAAGTCTACCGCTAGCAGATACTAGATACTGTCCTCTTTGAGCTTCCTCTCAAGATTTTTCAAACACGTCTATTAGGGAGAGGTTTCCACACCCTTATAAAGAATGCTTCATTTTCCTCCTCAATTGATGTGGGATCTTACAATCCACCCCCCATTCAGGACCCAGCGTTCTCACTGACACTTGTTTCTCTCTCCAATCGATGTAAGATCTCATAATCCACCCCCTTTGGGACCCAGCGTCCTCGCTGTCACACGGCCTAGTGTTTGCCTTTATAACAACTCAAGCTCACTGTTAGCAAATATTGTCCTCTTTAAATTTTCCCTTTCAGGCTTCCCCTCAAAGTTTCTAAAACGTGTTTACTTGAGAGAGATTTCCACACCCTTATAAAAAACATTTTCGTTCCCCTCTCGAACCGATATCAAATCTCACATTACAACGAAGTGTTTTTGGATCATGGGTAGTGGAAATTTGGGCCATTTTTTGTTCTAATTGGGAAATGGAATACTAATAGATTCAGACATGATTTCAGATTACAATATCTCAACGCCAAACCCAACAATCATAAACGCTACTACAATCATCACCTTCCTACATTTTCCAAAAAATTCTGCAGAAGGGAAGCTGGAAAACATGAACAGGAACAGATTTAGTAGCAGGCATGATCATGGGACCTAGCAATTCTCCTTACAGCGCCACTGCCCCTTCTCAAGCAATAGTCTATGCTTGAAGGAACAAGCGGCGCCTGAGATTTGCCATAAGAGTTCCAGCACAGAGCGCTCTGAAAGCCTCTGGATCCTGAAGATGGGTTCAGCTGGATACCTATAAGATCAACGTCTATGCATGGGATTTGGCTGCTGCAAGCTAAGTGAATAGGCTGCACTGTGTAACTTCCTATGATTTGATCGTATTTTATGCCTGAAATTGCCACTGCTCCTGTTTGGTTCTTGCATCTGTACTTGTCGCAGTAGTATTGGTCTATCATAATGGGTACCTTTACATCAGAAACTTGGATGTTGGAGAATGACACGTTTTTCACTGAACCAACTCCTCCCTGTTCATATTCATCAAACACGACACGACAATCAATACAGTAACAGCACAAACCCACTGCTAGTAGATATTGTCCTATTTGGACTTTCCCTTAAAGTTTTTAAAATGTGTCTGCTGGAGAGAGATTTTCACACCCTTATACAGAATGTTTCGTCCTCCTCCCAACCGATGTGAGATCTCACAATCCACCTCACTTTGGGGCCAGCGTCCTTGCTGCCTCTTCACTAGCATACTATCCGATGTCTAGCTCTGATAACATTTGTAACAGCCCAAGCTCACTGCTAGCAAATATTGTCCTCTTTGGGATCAAGGTTTTTAAAATACGTCTGCTATGGGGAGATTTCCACACCCTTATAAAAAATGCTTCGTTCTCCTCCCCAACCGACGAGGGATCTCACAATCCACCTTCCTTCTGGACCCAGCGTCCTTACTGGCACACCACTTCATTTCACCCCTTTTCGGGTTTAGCCTCTTCGCTGGCACACCGCTTGGTGTCTAGTTCTGATATCATTTGTAACAGCCCAAGTCCACAACTAGTCTTTGGATTTTCCCTTTCAGACTTTTCCTTAAGGTTTTTAAGATGTATATTCTTGGGAGAGGTTTCCACGTTGTGGGATCTCACAATCCACCCCCTTTGGAGCTCAACCTCCTCGTTGGCACATCACCCGGTGTCTAGCTCTGATACCATTTGTAACAGCCTAACCCCACTGCTAGCAGATATTGTCCTCTTTGGGCTTTCCCTCAAGGTTTTAAAACACGTCGGTTAGGGAGAGGTTTCCACACCCTCATAAAAAATGTTTCGTTCTCCTCCCCAACTGATGTAGGATCTCACAATCCACCCTTCTTCGGAGCCCAGCGTCCTTGCTAACACACCACCTCATGCCCACACCCATTCAGGGCTTAGCCTCTTCGCTGGCACACCGCCCGATGTCTAGCTTTGATATCATTTGTAACAGCCCAAGCTCGTTGTCCTTTTTGAGCTTTTCCTTTCCGACTTACCATTAAGGTTTTTAAAACATGTTTGTTAGGGAGAGGGTTCTACACTTTTATAAAGAATACTTCGTTTTTCTCTCCAACTAACATGAGATCTTATAAGAACAGTCTGATTCATACCAAATTTTTTAAAAGTTTTTAAGAAATGAATAGCACAGCCACCATAATTCAAGGAGAAAAATGATAGTTTAACCCTTTTTTGCTTTGTTTTTTTACCTGCCAGGTCTTGATCCTCACGCCTGAAAGAGTGTTTTGAATGGAGATGTTTTCAACAACAATATTGGAGACACATGCAACGCTTTTATCTTTACCAAGTCCGCCTAAGCTGTAATTATCAGCAAGAAATAAATCTGTAGTGCTGAATATAATCATGTTTAAGAAAAGTTTAACAAAATGGTTAATTTATAATCACCGCCGTAAATAATGTTCTTTACAGGAATTGGGTTTATTAAAAAGTCACCTTATGCCATGTCCAGGGCCACAATTGATATGATGAATATGGATGTTGGAGCAGCCAGTCTGAATGGAAACACAGTCATCTCCTGTATAAAATAACAAATCTTATAAGTTGTTTAATCACTGATCTTTACTTGTTATTTCTTTTTGGTGTAGCCTTATGTCTATTGCGATTAAAATATTGTTAAACGGAGACGTTTTTTGTGAGATTCCACGTCGGTTGGGGAGGAGAACGAACATTCTTTATAAGGGTGTGGAATCCTCTCTCTAACAGACGTGTTTTAAAAAACTTGAGAGGAAACCCAAAAAGAACAATATCTGCTAGCGGTGGGCTTGGACTGTCACAAATGGTATCAAAGCTAGACACCGGGCAGTGTGCTAGCGAAGAGGCTGAGTCCGAAGGGAGTAGACATGAGGTGGTGTGCCAACAAGGACGCTGAGCTCTGAAGGGGGTGGATTGGGGGTTCCCACATTGATTGGAGAAGGGAACGAGTGACAGTGAGAACACTAGGCCTGAAGGAGGGGTGGATTGTGAGATCTCATATTGGTTAGGGAGGAGAACAAAACATTCTTCATAAGGGTGTGAAAATCTCCCCCCTAGTAGACGCGTTTTAAAAACCTTGAGGGAAAGCTCAAAGAGGACAATATCTGCTAGCTGTGGCCTTGGGCTGTTACAAATTGTATTAGAGCTAGACACTGGGCAGTGTGCCAACGAAAAGGCTGAGCTCTGAAGGGGGTGAACACAAGGTGGTGTGCCAGCAAGAACGCTGGGCCCCGAAGAATTTTTTATAAGGGTGTGGAAACTTCCCCAGCAGACACGTTTAAAAACCTTGGAAGGAAGTCCAAATATGACAATATCGGCCGACATGGGCTTGGATTGTTAAACTTTTATTACCGCTTAATTTTCAAATTAAAAAAACTAAATAGTTACGAAAGACGAGTTTAAATATAGAAACGACAATAAAATATTATTTAAAAAGGGACTGTGAATTGTCTTGGTTCATACCACAGCCAATGTTCGAGTGTTGAATTTCGACATCTTGTGTGTTTTGTAAGTGAATTCCATCGGTGTTGGGGCTGCTCTCAGGCGAAGAAATCGTGATATTGTCGACTTTGACGTTGCCCGAGTTGTCGAATTTCAGATGGCACTGTGGACTGTTTATTATGGTGATGTCACGAACTGTCACATTGTAACTGGAATAAAATCTTAAAGCCTGTCATTTATGAACTAAGTATTAAAAAAATCCAATTAAAATTCATAAAAAAAAAAAAAAAAAAAAAA